ACCCTCAAACAAGATATTACAGATTTAGGCCCCTTCTGCTTGTAAGTATTTTTTTTTTTAAATTAACTGAGTAATACCAATGGGCTAGCTTTCATATTCTTCTACCAGTAGACAAAATCTAATGTCTTCTATAAACAGCACCTGGATTTGTGTAGTTTACTTATTCTTCAGTGTATTTTTTTTTCAGAGGCTCTTGTTGCTCAGCCATTGCATTTAAATAAATAAAGACTGCTAAAAATAAACTAACTTTGATTTAATGGCATGCCACAACTCAGAGTACCCAGAGTGGAATGTGAAACAGAATTCTTTCACTTTTTGTTGTTGGTTTGTTTGTTTGTTTGTTTTAAGAAAAAGGCCTTCAGTTCTGTTCTGGTAATTTAGAAATTCTTACCTTAAAAAGTTTTTCTTTGTGATAAATGTATCACAAAAACAAAGTTTACACTGAATTGGCATTGCTGACAGGAGTCTTGGCAACAGGTATGAATGCAATGAATCCACATTTTTTGGCAAATGGACATCAAGTACTTGTACTTCCAAGCTACTGACATGTCAGATAGAGGATATACTTGGGACACATGACTTCACAGTTCTAAATCAAGTCACTTGCTACAGTATAGAGATCACAAGCCTCATACTCCTGCATGATCAAAAAATGTCAAAATATAACCAATTATTTTCCTGACATCTAAGCTCTCTGCTCATCCTTCATATGACATGAAGGGTGTCTACTTACCTGTTTAACAGCCCCATATTAACAATAGTATCACCATTGCTGCCTGCTTGGCACCCCACTTCTCCTCCCTACTTCTTTTAACTAAGGAAGCACCTGAATTACAGAAAAACAACAGCCCAATGAAACAGCCAGGATAAGAAAACCTGTTTGAAAAGTCATATATGTACTTTCATGTAGCAGTTTTAATTCACTTTGTAAGGCATTTTAGCTGACTGAATCAGACTTTTGAAAAAGCAATTATAGGGGGACAGTACTTGCAGCCCTCTGCTGAGCCAAACTGAAGTTGTTGGTTGCAAAATAACATAACTTGTTAAGGGTACAGTTAGGCAAGCCAGCTTAAGTAATGTAATAGCTCCCTGACATCAAAAGGATATCCCTTCCGTAGCTCCCTGACATTGTCAGCCCTGCACCTTCCCTCTCCCTTCTTCATTTCCAGCCACACAGCTCCATCCCGCCTGTGCTGGCTCTCGCACTTGTCTGACCTCTCTGGTCACATCTGTAATAGTAAATAAAACAGGGCCAGAGCACCAGCTTGAGCCATGCTGTTAGCGTCCTCTCTGACACCATTTTGGCCCATACCAGCTTGGCACTTTCCCAGACAAATGCACAAGCACAGTTAAGGGCACAGCACATGCAAAGCAGCAAATTGCTCTCCATTGGCAGTCTGGATGCGACCATGCTGTTTCAGGGGGAAGACTGTTAGGTGTGTGCAATCTTGCCACTTTGTTCCGGGTCCAGAGAACAGTCCCCGGTATATTTTATTCCCTAGTGTAGACATAGCCTCAGTGAAACAATTCAGCTTATTAAGCCAGTAGAAATGTAACACAGGAAAAACACAGCTAGAGATAGCTGAACAGACTCACTAAAGGGGCAGCAAAAAGTAAGGGTAGAAACACATGGATGACAGCAAAGGAAAGAAGCATGAAGAGGGAGCCTGACCGATCTTTTAACAACAATTGCTAGATCAGGTCAGGCCATGCTGAGTAACCACACCTCTCGCTGTAAGCCTTATATTTGCAGGGCTATCAGGAACAACACAGAGAGGGGACACCCTATTCTATTTTTTTTTTTTTTCATATTCGTGTGTTCACTCATATATATATCTATACATACACACGCATGCCACGTAGAAGAGAAATAAAACATGATAGCTGCAAACTGAACAATTCTATATACTTAAAGGATATTCACTATTACATTTCCATGGGATTTATTACAGGATTTATCATCTTGAGAAAACGCAACTCCTTGTAAATTTAGTTAGAATTATGGCAGCTCACTATGCTGAAGATCAGGTGCCCGAAACATACATTTAAGTTGAACGTTTGACAGCTGTTTGAAAATATTAGCCTATTTATGTACAGTTACTTCTCTATGGAAGCACAGTACACAAAATGTACAGCTGCCGCTTTTTTCAAAAGCAGTATCCTGTGTTGCTTGTCTCCTAGTTACATAGATACTGAAGCTGCTACCTGATTTGCTTCTAATCAGACTGGCCTGCTTAACTGCATACAGCACTCTTTTGTCCCGAGGTGGATAAGGATAAATAAATTTTATATAAAAGAATTAATTTCAGAGGTAAAAAACCAGTCCAGATTTCTTATGTGCTCTTCTCTGTGGGCAGCTATGTGGAATATGAATAAACACATTACACCATTTTTAAATTTCACATATATACAGCATAACAACCTAAGTCTACCTTACGCTCACAGAGCAAATTTTCCAACAACCGTCAGAAACAACCACAGACAGAACATTCTCCTGTTTACATAGCTCTCTCATAGTGAAACTACATCCATACAGCATCTTACACTGACAAAAAAACCACTCAAAACTCCCTCACAATGCAGCACACTTGCTCCAAACTGAACATTTACCTACAGACTAAGAAAAAAGATTTGAAAACCCACACTTAACCATTTTCAACTTTGCTGAATAAACTTCAGTGTCCAATATTCTGTGCATACTTGCATTGGCTACTTTTTAAAATTATTCTTAGGACTCCTAACCTTCATCAAGAATCTAGTTCCAGCCTCTATTAGAAACAATTTTTATGCTAGCAATGCATAGTTCTTGTAATCTTCCCCTGAAAATTGCCAATAAGCCAACAATATTCACTACAACCTGCTGGCTGCAATTAATTTTATTTTATTTTAACATCAGAGTGGGTGAATTTATCAACCAGTGTAATAAGAGTATTCATCAGCCTTATTGTAAAGAATGCCGTCAAGCACTGCCTGCTAATAAATCCAAGAGTCTCCAAAGCAGCCTGTTGACACAACACCCACCTTCTCCCTCTTCCTCGCCTTCAAATCCAAATGGTTCCGTATTATATTCTTCAGCCTTACTACTCCAGGGAACATTTTCCATACATGTTGAATGAAGATGCAAGAAGGTTTGGTTTTGTTTAATATGAACCTGCACCATGACTCCAATGCCATGTACTTTATAACTTACTTGCTGAAGCAGTAACACTAACAGGAGGCTAGGAAATGTCAACAGTAATTCAAGTCTTCATTTTCAAATAGATTTTGCAAATAAACAAAAGCTTTTCTTACCATCTGAACATTCATATTCTGGTTTAAATGCAGTGCTTTCTTCTGTGAATTGTTGTATCAAGCATTTCCAGTAAATAATTATTTAAAACAAAACAGGCATGTAGCGCTCTTATTTGCGTAACAAAAAATGAATGGTGATACAAGTCTATATGCAGACAGATAACAGAACTTACTCAGACAGCATACCTGTGCTGGATGCATGGATACATACAACAAGACAGTAAGCCCTGCCTTCAAAACTTAATCATAGGCTGTATAATAGTTTCAAACGATCCATGTTTTTGTTAAATCTAAGTAAAATTAGGATGGATTGTGGTACCATTTTTCCATGCAAAACACAACAAACTCTGAACTGTTCACAACAATAAACGCTCTCAGCTCCAGGATATTATACACTCATAGATGAGTAAGAAGTTACTCAACCAGCAGTTAATTTGCACACCAAACAGCAGCTCTGGTTTCCTTTTACATACTTATCAACAAACTGAATATAGACTAATGAGATACGAAAATATGAAACACAAAAATATTGGACTAACTCACTTTCACATGTATTTCAGCTGCCTGGAAACAAATGCCAAAGAACCTTACAACTTCAGTAGCTGCTAACTACTCTGAGCTCCTCAAGGCAGACACATCTTTGAACAAGTTTCTTTTACTATTTGGAAAGATTAAATGAATAATTTCTTAGTTTATACATTTTTTAAAAGCCATGATAGTATATCAGCATTTCTAGAAAGGGATAGGTAATCTGCCAAATGCTTGCGAATCTATCTCATACTGTTAGTGTTTCCACAGGCATGAGACAACTTAACTTAAAACAATAAATTTAGATTAATATAGTACCACAGAACAAATTATGCCTGTTTAGTAGTTCTCATCTTTCAATCTGCAAAGTAAAAAAAATTCCTACAGTTTATGCTCACAGCATTTTAAAACACAGAAAACAACCACATAAACCAGTCACGTAACAACTCAAGCCTCAGTCAGGATTAGAATACCAATGAATTGTATTTTATAATTTGTATTAATCTGTACACAAGAAGCCCTTCACTGGACACAGAAATTATACTTCCTAGATACGTAAAAGACACATGCAATGCACTTATAAATAAATATTGTTTCATAAGCAGAAACTATGAGAACTGGTATGAGGAAGTGGAATCAGATTTGGCAACATCTCAATTCCACATGCAATCTGGTCACACAACAATCTCCTCATATCAGTTTAATGTTTTTAAAACATGCCACATATCACACTCTTTGAGATATTTTAGTTTTATGCTGAGGATAGTGATGATTTAGAGCCTAACCTTACTGGATAAGTACTTTTTCATTCGGTGAATATTCAGCATTCTACTTCATAAAAAGTCGTTCAATATTTAATGTGAAATGCTGAGCACTCCTAAAATATTAAGAATTCAGAATTCTGCTGAATAACATCTTTATACAACTTTTACGCAAAAGTCTAACACAGCAATAGATATCAGAACATGAGGAAATTTTACTTACTCTGTTCTCCTGACTGTGCTAGTATTTTCAATTTATCAATTATTTGTTGGCACTACTTGCTTAGATTTCTTTCTTTGCCAGATATACATTCCTATACATTAATCACCCTTTACAGAAATTCTGCTTCAAATGTTTTTTTCTTATCTAGTTGTTCAAAAACAATGCCAAGATAGCTCACAGTCCATGTATGTACTCACCACTTCGTGCTGCATCTTGCAAGGTTGAAACAGAAGTTGTTTTCTGGAATCTGTTTCCTTTCCATTTCATGTGCACATTGGCCATAACAAGTAGTGCTTCATTAATAAAAAGCTGCTGACATTCTTTCTTTAAAAAAAAAAAAAATTTAAAAAAATCAACAAATTTCCCAAAGTTACTATTCTAATTTTATATTGATATCATGTAATACAATGCTTTTTCATATTTCTTTATGCTTCTTCAGAAAAAACCACTGTCATTTCACTTGGGCTATGATTATTTTTTTAATGACTGAGGCTTTTAATACAATACCTAGTTTTACAGCAGGACTACACTGACATCTAGCTAACTAGGGTATAAAACTGGTACACCCCAGTATCATTCTGATCTTTTTTCTTCATTCAAGAGCACTCAACTAAGACCACTACAGTGAAAGCCTTGTGCTATTTTAATTATCTCTTACAAAGCAAAATATTTTTACTCATAAAGAGAATTCTCCCAAATGTCCGAGTCTTTATGTGGACAAACTGTTAGAGTAGTTACAGTTTGCAAGGTGCATACACACATGCGCCACAAGATGTCTTTGCAATTGGCCTTTTAAGTACCATTTATACCCCAAAAGTAGAGATTTTACTTTTATATACTTTATAAGGCTTGTTAAAAGAAAAAAAAGCATACATAGCTAATGGTTTGATTAAATTGACTCCCCTGTCCACTCAACTAAAATCCAAACAAGTTAAAGATTCAGAGAGATTTTGCAAAAGCTGTCAGATTAAATTAAAAATGTTAAAATTCAAAAATGCTGTAAGAAAATATGTTTGTACTTATAATAAATATGAATTCAACTTCATTTATTTTCCAAGACAAGTATGGTGTTCTCTTTTTTCCACCTTGCAATAAATATGCCATGTGCAAAAGAAACAGAACTCGGAACTCAAATCTTAGCAGGTAAGCGAATGCAAAGTAAAGAGAAAAATAGTGCTACTTGCAATTTTGAAGTAAGAGCTGCTTCTAAAAAAATACTAAGAAAATTTACATTGCCCTCCTTGACCACTTTGGGTCAACAGTGAGCACTATAATCTATTTTCTAGAACAAGATGAATAGCCTAGGCCATGTAACCTACTCTCCTGTAGGTCATTATCTTCTCTAATATTTTTATAACACTCAGCACATATTAAAAGCATAACAGCACAAAAGCACAACTGAAATGCAACCATTTCTCCATGGTTTAAAATTCATAATGCCCTTTAAGAAGACTACAGTATTGCAGGGTATGAATAGAAAATGAAGACATTAAAGAATGACTGAAAAGCAAGTGAGAAAACCACAAGGTTTTCAGGCCATACGGGTTTGTAATAGGTAGCCAAAACTCCCTATGCCACCTGATTGCAGAGGATGACAGTCAATATAAGGCATCAGCAGATTGATAAGAACTTTTTTTTGGACTATGCCAAGTGTTCCTTCCAAACATGGGAAAAGAAAGGGAGTGTGCTGGCTGCGCAGTTCTACAAACCTCTGATAAGGTCTGCGCACACTCTCATCCTTCTGAAACATTACATTGCCCTACTTAAAATCCAAAAAAGTTGCCACTACAAGTAACTAAGAGCCAATGGCTGCTTGATAGCTCATGCCAAATAACAAAGGTTATGATACTGGTTTAGCTTTGAGTAGACTTGTGACCACATCACATGCACCACAACTGCCGTCAGTTTCAGCATGAGACCAGGTAGCCTCAATATTGAGCCAGTGATTCTGAATTTATGAAGGAAACACTTTTTATAGCGTATCAGTTTTGCTACCTGCAAAGACCATGCGGATTTCAACCCAGTAATCAGTGCTAGATGCCAACAAGAAAGTCTGTGCACGTTCTATAATACATGTACAGTTTGATTAAAACTTTCCTTCCCAACAAAGCTTATGCAACGTCTTTATTCGTGCAGTACTACTAAGGCTTCCAATGCCACCAAAGTGCCAAACATCATTATTGCAGATAATCCTGTCTGACGAATCCTGTACTCACGCTTCTTCCATCAGAGAGCTTAGGAACAGCTACTTGTGTCAGTGAGGCTATGCTGATCTTAACAGGAATACAAGGCAGTACCTTTTAGCACTTCTTCCCATTACTTTTTGAATGCTCTCTTTTTCACTTGCTTTTGGACAGCCCCGTAGGGATGGACAATCAAGAACATGTTCTTCTCATCAAACCACAAAAGCAAACACAGGGGGAGCTCCCACTGACCCACTCCTCACTCCAAGGATACAGGACTCTCCTCTGACCAACCGACTGGTAAAAGCACAACCGGCCTGACCAAGCCAAGCCAATAAAGATCACCTCCAAGCACGTACTTTCTGCCAGGCGCCCAGGTTCCTTTCTCAAACCAGGTTAAGGACAACGTGTGCTGCGTTTAAGAGACACGACAGCTGCAAGACGGCACCTTACCTGACAGGACACCGTCTTCTCCTCTTTTCCCCCCCCCCCCAGCACCCTGAGGTCTCCCCACAAGGTTTCCAAGATCGCTCTTTACCTACAAACGCCAGCCTCCGCCAGGGCCGGCTCTCGCTCGTCCTTTAGCCCCTCTGACCCCGGGCTGCCGCCCACCGCGGTCCCCGGACGGCGGGGCAGCCGGCGCGCAGCCC